AAATGTTCTTAACCAATATATATATATATATATATATATATATATATATATATATATATATATATATATATTTAAAATTTTGGGGTTTAAATAATAGATTGACGTAAACGCTCGCAAATAAAAAATTTCCTCCCTTTGAAAAAAAAAAAAAAAAAAAAAAAAAAAAAAACAAAATCTGCGTTTTTAACCAGGTTTGGTCAAGTAAATGAAAAGTTTTATTTTTTTGGTTAATGCGACATCTATCTGATTTTTTAAAAAACTTTTCAATTCAAAAAAAAAATTTTTTTTAAATTCCCCCGTGAAATTTTTTTATTCTGTTGTTTTTTTTGTTTTTTAATTCCATTACATATAAAATAAAAAAAGAATTTTTTAAAAATCAAAACAAAATGGCGGAACATAATATAAACCGCCATATTTTCTAAGTAGGTCTGAAATTAGTAGCTCCAAGGTATTTGTTTGATGTTACAGACAGAGATTTTATTAATTTTAACTTTGTAATATTATCTGACGTTTGTGAATTTATTAAAATTTGCTCCTGTTTTGATAACGTCATAAAATGTCGAAAGAAATGAACATGCACCAAAACCCTCCCCAAAAAAAAAAAAAAAAAAATTTCGTTCTTTTTAGTATATCAAACGCGATGCGAAATTATAGTGTGTGTGCGTGCGTGCGCGTATTCCTGTGTGTGTGTGTGTGTGTGTACGATACACATGTTAAAATTTTAATAATTTTCAAACCACAGGTGATGATTATGACGATGACGAAGCTGAACCGCAGCAAATTTAATTTAAAATAAAATTAACCGAACTAAAGCCAAATATTTTTCCCTAATTTTAAACGTTTATAATTAAAAAAAAAAAAAAAAAAGAAAATTTTTTACTCGAACGTGACGTCATTTTTTATAAAGATTAAATTTTTTTTCTTTCTTTTTTTTTTTTTTTGGGGGGGGGGAAGGGAGTAGGAAAGGGAAAATGACGACAAAGACGACGACTATTGGAAAAAAATTGGGAGAAAAAAGAAATTTAAAAAAAATTTTTTTTTTTTTTTTTTCATCATTATTATTATTTTCACTCATAATCGCGACAATTTGTCTTAATGTTTATTGGAACTTTTTCAACATTTATTCCAGGTTTCTACCCGCTCATCCCTAAGGGGAATAAATGCTTGAATATCAGTGATGCTGCATGCCTGATGAATAGATTTCATCTTGTTATTATAACCTAACAACAATTCTTATAAGTCTCACTGAGACCATCTTGGTTCTGCCTTACCTTGTTCTCATTTTGCTACATCACAATTATTAATCAGTTATCATATGACTTTTTCCTCAGAACTACTTCAATACTTAATTTTCCTACTATTCTCCCTTTTCATAATTTTCCCTCATGCATTCCATCTTTAATGTATGCACAGTACACATATACAATTACAGTATGCAAATTACAATTATGTACTCACAAACTTAAGTAATCCGAAGGCAGTTCAGAATTTTTCTAATCTCTTAATTGAAATTAAAGAGAATTTTAAACTAAACATAAGGGAAAATATATTATAAAGAAATAAACTAACTTAATAAAAGGGTTAAAGTAATGTACAATCTATGGATTCACACTTAAAATGAGGATTACAAAAGTTTAACATCCACTCGATACAGAAATTAATTAATATTAAAGTATTTTTATCGAACTAACTTTATTTTCATTTAGTATGACAAGAGTATTTAGTTCGACTACTTATAATCAGCTCAAGAGATGTACAATTATTAAATAAAGTCTGTTGTGTATTTTCACTATTCCTTGTATTAATTTTTCCTGATTTTGATACAGACTTATAGGGAGTATTATACTATCTCTATGATAAACTATGTTGTAATGAAATAAACTAATTCAAGAAAACGTTTAAAACAACCTACAATCAGTAAATCAACCCTTAAAGATTAGAGTATAGAAATTTGTACACTAAGACAATATATCAAATCAATCATTATTAATAAATATTATCATTAAATTACTCCAACATATTGTTTTGCATGATGAAATGAATAATATATTTAGTTAAACTACTTATAATTAACCAAATAAATGTAAAATTTTAAAACTGTTTTTAGGAAATTTGCACCATTTCTTTGTTAACCAAACGTTTTTGCAAATGAAATTCCAGATTTAAAATGAGGTACTTACCAGTAACAATCAAACGTACTAAGGCATCTTCTAAGGGTTTTTTTTATTACCCACGCTTCCTTTTGTCACATGGAGTTTTCGACTATTTGTAGATGTAAATTTGAAATAATTTAGTTATTACTAAATAATATAAAAAACTAATTACATAATAATAAACTAGACTAAATAACAAAACTTTTGATATATAATTTATAACTAAATTTTTTAAAAAAACTATTAAAATTAATAAAAATTAGTCGACATGATGCAAACGCATGTCGACCATTCCATTTCCAGCGCCATCTTTGTTTTAAACTCCATCCAACGCCATCTGTGTTAATATTATTATGAATTCTTAATTATCATTTTTCATTTTGACTAAAACAAATAAATCCTTAAATTCTTGTTTATTAAATTTTATAACTAAAGGGCTTAAAAAGAAAAACTAAAACTAAAAATTTCAGGGATAATAATAATAATTATTATTATAATAATAATATATAATAATAATAATAATCAAAATAATAATAATAAATAATAATAATGGTAATAATAACGGTAATGAAATAATTTTTTTTCTTTAATTTTTTTTTATTTCTTTTCCTGCTTTTATTATTTTTTTAATTTAATTAAATTAAGTCACACGCAATCACTTATCAATTAATTAATTAATTAAAGAAACTAAAACAATAATGATAATAATAGTAACGAATGAATGATTGAATGATTGAATGAACGAATGAATGATTGGAAAAAAAAAAAACAAAAAAAAAAAATTTATTTATTTTCTATTTTTTCTTCTCTTCCCATTATCTTAATTAATTAAAAATAAATTTATCATTATTATTATTATTATTATTATTATTATTATTATTATTATTATTATTATTATCATCATACTTTTGCATGTGTCATTTTTATTTTAAAAAAAAGGAAAAAAAGGAAAAAAAAAAAAAAAGGAAAAATGAAAATAAGGAAATAATAAATGTATCTAAATAATAAAAAAATAAATTTTTTTTTTTTTTTTTAAATAGTATAATCTTGCTGGCATTTATTTATTTAATTTTTTGTTTTCATCATCATCATTATTATTACTATTATTATTAATGCATTATTTTATTTATTAAAAAAAAATTGTTGAGTTTTTTTTCTTTTTTTTTCTTTGGTAGAATTTTTTTTCCCCTACTCAAGCGACTAAAAAAAATTATAAGTATTAAAATTAAAAAAAGCGTTAATTTCTTTCTTATATAAATAATTCAATAATAATAATAATAATAATAATAATAATAATAATACAATTTCATCACTAAATTATAATAATACATAAATGTTAATATATAGTATAAAAAAAAAAAAAATACTAAAAAAAATAATAAATAAATCTCGCGTACAAATAATATATATATATATAAAGTTTCCGTTTGTATAAAAAGCTTATAGAAAAAAAAAAAAACAACAAAAACACTCGCCACGTGTAAAAAAAAAAATGATAATAATAATAATAATAATAATATTATTTAAAAAAAATGCAATTAAATCGATTTATAAATTAAAATTAATAAAAAATTATTATTAAAGTTTTTATTTAATATAAAAATATATATAAAAAATTAAATAAAATCATGTATACATATATATATATATATATATATATATATATATATATATATATATAACATGAATCGAGATCTAAAAAAAACTGTGAGAGAGAGAGAGAGAGAGAGAGCTTTTAAAGCTTGTTCGTCGAAATTTCCAGAAAAAAATAATAATAACGATAATAATGATAAAAGTACGTTTAGGCCGGACGTTTTACTTCAACATAAACAAATTTGATAGTAATGATGATAATAAATAAATAAATAATAAAAAAATATTAATAATAATTAATGTGGTCGCTTATTTAACTCGATTATTAATAATATATCGATTTATTATTATTATTATTATTATTATTATTATTATCGTTATTAATAAATATTATCATTATTATATATAGGGTAAATCGTTAAAAATTTTTCATTGAAAAATTCGTTAATGATTATTAATTTTATTTTTTTTTAGATTATTAAATTTTATGAGAGAGAGAGAGAGAGAACACAAGAAAAAGAGATCGACAAAACATTGAGAATTTATATATATAAATATGTGATTCATTAACGGTTTTTTTTTTTTTAAATTTCATTTTCGAATACTGTCGCGATTTGAACATGATTACAAAAATAAATAAAAAAAAAAATTCTCAATGTTTTTTTTTTTAGTAATAAAAGTAAGTAATCGCACGTTTTTTTTATTTTTAATTAATATTTCGTGTTTTAAAAAACTCGGTTAATTATATTTATATATAAATTACTCACGGAATTAAATAAATAAACGACGAGGAACTTGACACACATACGTTTTAAAATTAAAAAAAAAATAAAAATAAAAAGTTTAAAAACGATTCGAAATTTATTCGCGATCGAAATTCTTTATTTTAATGACGGTAACTTCGCTTCAAAAAAATAAAAAGATTAAAAAAAAAAAATTATTATTATTATTATTTACTAACTGAAAATATTAGTATTTGCAATCATTTCCGTCAATTCAACAATCCCAACAATTACGTGTTGACAGGGTAGGGGGAAGAGCGTCAAACGTCGCGAAACGGTTAATTTTGTCGACAACCTATAAATTAAATTTATTCAACTACGTGGCGACATTTTTCGCACTGACGTGTGCTCTCTAATTATTTATTTACATCGCGTTTCGATTGATTTATAACGTACTTTTCGACTAATAATAAATATTTGACTAAACGAAACGATTAATCGATTGATTAATTAACGACATTTTTCATTTCCATTACAGCGGAGTCTCCTTTTTCCAATGATATCCGTTTGATTTGTTGGATGAATTTAATTTGGAGTGATTAAATTTCGACACTTCTTGCCTCGTTTTTTGAATTCTCTCCGCCGCGCATTCCAATCCGTTTTTAACGTTCGACATCAGTCTGAGTGCGGGATTCGTCACGATGCCGTTTCTCTTGGGTTTGGAACTGTGAAAATAAAAAATTTTCATCAAATGGTACGTAATTAATTAATTTTAATTTAATATATAACTATAGCAATTGTAATTTGTAATAAAATTCTGACTCACCCAAGATGGCCGCCGGAATCGAATCTTGCATTTCCTAATATAATTCTCATATGTGTATCCCTGGCAAAATGCATATCAGCATTGGGTTGAGATTTTATTTCTTCGCACGGACTGTTAATATCGCTCAGAGGACTGTGAGGGGGTGAAGCGTATATGGGAGAAACATCTTCGCTTTCTAAAGGTGACAAAACTTTAGACAGAGGTCTCGTTTTATTGCTTCTCCTACACTGCTGAAGTTGTTGAGTGAATGATAAACAACCCTACCAAAAAAAAAAAAAAAAAAAAATTTAACAAAGTGAAAAAGATGAGTATATCATTCCAACCCATTTTGTCGATATTAAATGTAATTAGCAACCTGAGAATTATGAGTCGCAGAAGAGCTAGGTTCTTGTGAACTTTTAGTGCTATTTGTAAAATTGGAACTTGACTTAGAATGATTGGAACGATTACCTAAAGAAACGAGGGATTGTCGATGGACAGTAGACTCTGGAGATTCCACCGGTGAATATTTAGGAGCCGATGTAGCATCCACTATGGAGAATTTGAAAATTTATTATTGAAATTAACGATAATATATTATTCTTTGGGGGAAAAACGGTAATTTCTTTTTTTACCTTGAGGCACAATTAGTTGCTTAATTTCGTTTGCTAGGGGTTTATGTTTAATGTTAAAAGTATACTCTTCTAGTAATTTGACGACTCCGCCATGTCCACTTTTAGCTGCCACTTTAAAAGCATTTCTACCGCACCTGTCAGAATGAGATGGATCTGCTCCGTGTTGAAGTAAAGCTTTAACGCATGCTTCGTGACCTTCTTGAGCAGCAATACCTGATGAATTGGATGATTTAGTCGTATATAATAATAATAATAATTAAAATGAAAATAGTTTATATGACATTTTCTTCATTACCCAAAGCTGTGGCTCCTTGGTTGCAGGTGTGGTCGGGAGTTGCTCCGTGATCTAAAAGAATTTTGACGATAGGTGCATGACCCTGCCAACTAGCCGAATGTAAAGCAGTTCTATTTTCGTTATCGGTTGCATTTACATCAGCTCTACCAGAAGAAAGTAAAAGAGATACCATTTCAGCATGACCTTGCCACGCGCTAACGTGAACTGGTGTTCTTCCCTAAAATTAAAATTTCACAAATGAAAAATTTTAATTTTAAGAAATGTTACAAACTTTTAACAAAAAAAGCTCTACCTCAGAGTCTTTACTCTCTACATCCGCCTTTCCATGCTCTAAAATATACCTAGCCATTGGCAGTCTATTTTCCAATGCTAAAATATACAAAGTGCTCCTTCCATCCGCATCTTTAATATTAACATCTGCTCCATAATTTAATAAAATTCGGACTACATCGTAATGACCCTCTAGTGCGGCTAATCTAAAAGAATAAATAATTAATATATTAAATTTAATAATATTTTTTTTTTGTTTGCTTTTATTTTTTAGTGCACCTACTACCTACCTCAAAGCTGTCTTTCCATCGTGAGCTCTTTGATCCGGAGGAGCATTGTGTACTCTTAGTAAAGTTTCAACTAAAAGACCATGCCCTTCTTGAGCAGCTAACATTAAGGGACCTTTTCCATCGTTATCAGGCTCGTCGACTTTTGCTCCAGCCTCAAGAAGAGCTTCGCATACTTCAATATGACCTTCAAAAGTGGCGTAGTGTAGCGGTGTCCAACCCGAATTATCACGGTGTTGTTCATCCAAACCTAAAGAGTAAAAATCAAAGAAAAAGAAGAAGAAGAAGAAGAGAACTAAATTTAAAGACTTACTAAGTAATATTACCAACCTCTATCTAACAGCTGACGTACAACGTCTGTGTTTCCTTGAGCTGCAGCTATAGACAACACTGTTCTGCCTTCGTTATCTATACTATCGACGTAACAACCCCAAAAAAGAAGTAACTCTACGACGGATGAGTGTCCCATACTGGCAGCAGCCCACAAAGGAGTTCTACCAGAATTGTCTGAATGATCAACATCGGCTTCATATTCCAATAATAATTCGCAAACATCCCTAAACATATACATTTTGTTTTGTATGTATCAATACGTTTTTGATAAAACCTAAATTAAGTATAATTTATAAAAAATCATGCAAAATAATTACCTATGGCCTTCGAAAGCAGCAACTAAAAGTGGAGTCATACCATCTTTATCTTGGTGATCGACCGAAGCACCCTTTTCTAATAAAATATTTACAACTTTGGCGTAACCTTCGTTATTGGGAACGTACAAAGCGGCAACACTTAATGCCGTGCGACCATCAGCATCCTGATGATCTATTTCAGCTCCGTTGTCTAACAAATGTTCAACGATTTCGCTGTGACCCATGTAAGAAGCAGCTATTAATGCGGTTCTACCTTCATCGTCCGTTTGATTAACATTCGCTTTGTGGGCGACTAACACTAAATTAAATTTTGAAAATTAAATTAAACAAAAAAGGTAATTTTATACAAAAATAATTTTTTTTCACATTACATTCTACGATATCTTCGTGTCCGCCCCATGCAGCAGCCCTCAACGCAGTCCTTTGATCAGAATCAGCTACATCAACATCTGCGCCATGTTTTAACAATAATTCTACGACCGGCGTATGACCTCCCCAAGCAGCAGCCCGCAACGCAGTCCAACCTTCACAATCAGAATGATTGCAATCCGCACCGGCCGTAAGTAATACCTTAAACATTTTTTTTAAAGGTAATATGACTTTAACTGTATTTAATACAAATCATCAAAGATAAAAAAAAAAAAAAAAAAAATAAACGATTACCTCTATGACATCGAGGTACCCGTGACGCGCAGCCAAATTTAAAGCCGTCTGACCGTGACGATCCTCAACTTCCAAATTCGTTTCGGGATACGTTGATAATATTAGATTAAGTAAAGTTGCGTTTCCTTCTCCTGCTAAAGTATGTATCGTGGTTCGCCCAACCGAATCAACAGAACTTACATCGGCTTCTTTATTCCACGATGCAAGAAGTTCCTGAAGTTCTGTATTTGGACTAACATTCCTAGATACCTGTTCAGTATAAATATATTAATAAAACTTACAATTTCAGTCGGAAAAATATTTTTGTCGGAAAAATATTTTTGTCGGTAATAAATAATACCTGACTAGAAGCTACATCAATTCCATTATCTAACGAGGAAGACTTTTCATTTTTTTGAAGTGAATTACAATTCGATACTTTTGCTCCTGCTTCGGTCAAAATTTTTAAAACTTTAGGATCCTTTGGAACTTGTAACACTTCTAAAATATCTGACAAAAGGGGTTCTTTCAATCCTTCCGTTTCTCTTTTTCCAGAATTTTCTTCCGTGCTTTCTTTCGAGAAACCTTGAGCTTTGTCACTTTTTGAATGCCCTAAAGAAAATTCATTTTTTTTCTCGTGTTTAACTTCCATATTTTCAATATTCAGGGTAACGATTTCCATAATTTTTTTTTGAGATTCATCTTCCTCGCAATTTTCGTTTCGCAAAGCCGCCAACGATTTCTGAGTGATCTGAGATAAAAAACTAGTATTGAAAATTTCCGATTCTTCATTTAATGATTTTTCCAGTCCGTTAAGTAAAATATCAAGTTCTTCTTCCTTCGTCAATGGAATTTGATGTTTTGATTGCTCGGCACTCATTTTATCATCAAATACTGAAATACTTTCCGTCGTTTGTTCATTGCTCACCAATCCCAAAGTAGAAGTGTCTTCCGATTTTAAAAACCCGCTGTCTTGTGAACCTATGTTAAGAAAACTCGTTTCGCCAGTTTTCGACGGTGACTCGAGTGAAAATTTAAAATTTTGCTCGGTGAATTCTTTAAGAAAATCCGGCGATTTTTCAGACTCGAAAAAACCAGTTTCGTCTTTTTTAATAACTAAATCCAGGTTCGTTAATTTCTCTAATATTTCATTCGTTTCCGAAGCGATCGTTTTTTTCTCAGGTTTTTTCACATCAAAATCCAAATGATCGTAATCTTCGCTTATCCTTTTCTCCTTATCTAAATCCCTCCGTCCGTAAGGTTCGAATTGAAGCTCTTCGTAACATTCTGGAAGTTTTTCATAATGACAAGAAGATTGATTTTCCATCGGGACTAGGCTTTTTTTCAGACTGGAATGTTTTCTACTCTTGTATTTTTTTTTACCCTCGTTATTCGTATCGCTTTTGGGTAATTTAACTCTTTGGTCTTTTTTACTTAAACTACTCGTTCTTTTCCGCATAGAATCCGACGATTTCTTTTTCAATCCATTCTCCTTTTCGTAAATTTGTTGTACTATTTCTTCGCTCTTCTCTTGACCCAATAAACAATTTTCCACGTTGGCACCCGATTGTATTAGCCATAACACCAATATAGTGTTGTAATCGAAATTAAGAGTTTTTTCAATGAAATTAACAACACTTTCATCGGGTAATGGCATTCGGGTTAAATGCAAAGCAAAATTTTGTATGTCCTCCGGACTCAATTGTTTGGCTTTCAGCGAATACGACATGGCTAACATTCCATGACCGGCCTCTGCCGAGCACAAATATTTTTTTGTACAGTGTTTTGCATCCAATAACCATTCTCCGAAACTGTGATGAAAGAGTAAAATGGTTCCATCGCTGTTCAATCGAATAACTCTTCTTAAAAGGTGAAGACGCTTACTAAAGTCTTGCCTTGTAAGATTAGTGTTCGAAGTCCAGACGGCATTGAATAATTCCGAAATTGTCAGCAATTTTCGTGCTGCTAATATTACATTTAATAAAGGTTGAACCTGTGAATAATTAATTTTTTTTTTAAAATAATAACAATTCAATAATAATTCGATAAAAAATTCCATTAAAATTTTTTTTTACTTTGGAAAAATGTTTCCTATGAAATAATCTCTGACAAAGCCACAAATATAATCCGTTAATTGTACCGGGAATTTCGCGGATTTCTCTGAGAACGATAAAATTTTCCGATACGCCATCTAAAACTTTTTCCAGATAAAGAAAACATCCGTTTGATTTTATATGTAATTGATTTAACATTTCTGCTGTGTCGCGACTAATGTGCTTTCTTAACGATTCTTCGGAGTCAATACGTGCCAAAATATACTGCTGAACGTCCCTGACAACCTTAAAATGAAAGAAAGAAAGAAAGAAAAAAAAAAAAAATGCTCAATAAAATTCAAATTTATCATTCTTTACAAATAATTAAAATTTAAACGGGAATAATTAAAGTAATATTAATTTGATGACAACGACCTGCATAAATATAGTAAATGCAACAATAAAATTATGAGTCATAAAAAAAAAATAATAATAATAATTTTTAATGAATGACTCAGTTAGTTAATAAATGGTGTAAATGATATAATTGTGATTACTTGAGATTTTCTTAAATCATCCAAAGATAATTTTCTAAAACCTGTAAACATTCTAGATATATGTTTACTTTGTCTCCTCGCTGTGCAAACTAATAACAGCCATTGTGGAAATAAATGATGATGATTAGCTAATAATTCTGCTATTGTTTTACTGCCATTTCCACCAGATTTAATATCGTAACGTAATTGACTTCCGCCTACGAATAAAATTATTTATGATAAAATTTTAAAAATAGAAAATTATTTAAATTTTTTTCAAATTTTTTTTTTTTTCGCTCTATTTACTGGAATTTTGAATTTGATTTTCATCGATACTATCAATTAATAAAAACAAAGAATGCTTGGGAGGATCAATTTCTAAGAGAGGAAATAAAACACCCTTTTTAAAAGCCTCATCCGGATCGCGATCCAAAAAATCTGGTTTTAATGCATTTTGAATTTCTGGATCATGTCGAACCTGTAAATTTAATTAATAATATAATTAATTTAAAAATTTTACTGCTTTACATGTACAAAACAAGAGTATTGATAATAATAATAATATGACAGAGAAACACACTTTTTCAGCATACTGTTGAGAGAGTGTTTTACACGAAAGCGTGGGAGAAATTATTTCACTAGAAATTGGACTAGTAGGAAACTCGGAATTTTGACCAAGTATTTGCGACACTAAATTTCTGATAAAATCTGACACAGAAAGAGAAGAAATATTGTGAGCCTAAAAAATAATTTAAAAAAATAAAGCATTAGCATTATTTAGCTATTTGTAATTTTTTAATTTTTAAAAGTATTAATTTTTTTTTGATTTTACTTGACAGAAATGGTATGCTAGCAAACGTCTTCTAAGAGAACGCTGTTGACGTCCACCTCCACCACTACTTGGCCATACTATTTCGCTACAGAAAGATGTCTTTCCTGAACCAGGGCCTCCGACAATGAAAGCTCCACATGTTTTAGAAAGAGGTTGCTGTTCCAAACAATGTGCAAGTTTTAAAAAAGCCCATTCTCTACAGTAAAATTTCCTTCGATCTTGGGGGGTTCCAGCCATAATTAAACACTTTGTGTTTGAAAAATCTTATGATTTCTCATTATAATAAATTTTTTAAACATTTTGCTAAAAATAATAAAAAATGAACATTTAAACAGAGCTCCCTGAAAATTTAATTATTGTTTAAAAAACTCGATAAAATATATGTGATAAAACTTTTAAAAAATTGAAAGTAACTTATTAAAATAAAAAATATATATATATATATATATTATCATTATTTTCATAAATATCTGTAAAATATATTTGCTTTAATTTTATTTATTAATTATATTTGCCACTAAGTTTAATCATAATATTAGGTAAAGTAGTTCAGAGTAGTTCAAGGCTTACTTGTTTGTTAAAATCTAATTCCAATAAATTATAAAATTTAACCAAACCATTCACCAATTAAATCACAAAAATTTTATTTAAAATTATATCTTAAAACTTCTGTGATAACTTCAAAAAAAAAAAAAAAAAAAATGACATCATGGTATTAAATAATTTCAAATAATGGCAACTAAATGATGTTTATAAAACATGACTCATTATGAACCTTGACTTTAAAATAATAACAAACTGCCAATACCCAAATTAACTTTTATTTAATTTTTAAAAGCTTGAAAAAGGTATCATGTGCAGGAAAAAATTTTTAATAATGGTAAAGTTTTACAAAATAAAAAAAAAAAAAAAAAAAAAAACGCCCCAATCCAAATTAAGATTGATAATTTAAAATGTATGTAATATGACTTGACTTTTTAGTCAACGCTAATATTATGTATTAAATATTTTGTTTAACTACATAAATAAATTTATTTTTACAATATGAAAACTTTTAAATAAATAATAAATTTGAATAAATTTAAAAAAACAAAGTTTTTTTTTTTTTTTTTATTTAGCACTTACTGTGTTTTTAAACAAAATTACCGGTTTTGTGCAAAGTATAATATCTAGTAAACACTATTCACTAAGTTTAAAAAAATGAATATGAAGAAGAAACAATTTGAAATATTTAATGCATGAGTTTAAATTGTATTTTTAAAAGCACAAAATATTTTCTTTTTTTTTTTTTTTTTTTTTTTTTTTTTTTTAAAGAGAGCTTTTATAACCCACCAACATAGAAACAAAAGATTTCGATTTTTTATTAGGGCCACTTGGAATTAAATTTAACCAATGATATATTTTCACAGCCTTTTAAAGTAATTATTTATCATTAATTTCACATATTTTGTATACTTTATGAAATTACGTCAGATTAAGGTAGTGTTTACCAAAATCCTGATCCTTAGGAGTGATATTAGATGAAATTTCATTATATTTAGCTTTACCATTTTTATTTGAAGAACAGAAAACTAATTTTTTTTTTAAAAATGTCATCTGCTATGGAAAGTATCCTTTTTTTTAAAAAAATTTATAATTGTACAAATGCATTTTTTCAACGTATAGGTTTTTGACATTTCTTCTTCTTCATTGTATAAAACGAAAAAGGGATTTTTACTACAACATATTTTTTATAATAATAATTATTATATAAATTATAATTTTTTTTTATCGTGAAAAAAATGTTATTACGTAACTTATAACCAATTTCCCATTAATTATTCCAATTAATATTTAATAACATTTATTTTCAATGACATTTAATAAAATTTTTGTAATTTTGTCTAACATTGAATTAATATGGACATTTATTTAAAAAAAAAAAAAAAAAAAATGTGCCTGCCATTTTTTCATAAGTTTTTAATTCAAGTTGAACTAAACAAAATAACTAATGTTCCAATTCCAGTATTATTCTTAATTTGTTGTTTATAGAAAATTTGTTTAATCTTAAATTTGCATCGAAAGAATTAGAACGAAGTGCGAAAAGATGCGAAAAAGAAGAAAAAATTGAAAAAGCCAAAACTAAAAAGGCTATTCAAAAAGGTTTAATTTTGATTTATATATGTATATTATGCAGATTTGAATTGATTAAATTTTTAATTTTTTCTGAAACATTTTTTAGGTAACATGGAAGGAGCTAGAATTCATGCTGAAAATGCAATCAGACAAAAAAATCAAGGATTAAATTATCTGAGAATGAGTGCCAGAGTAGATGCTGTGGCAAGTAGAGTTCAAACAGCACTTACTACTAGAAGGGTAAAAAAAAAAATATTCAAATAGTAAATTTATTTTTTGTTTATATATTACATGCTTAAAAGCACAAGTATTTATTATGCACAGGTAACTCAATCTATGGCAGGAGTATGCAAAGCCATGGATCAAGCCATGAAGTCAATGAATTTAGAAAAAATATCTTCATTAATGGACAAATTTGAAACACAATTTGAAGATCTTGATGTTCAAAGTTCGGTTATGGAAAATGCTATGAGTCAAACCACGACTACCACAGTACCACAGAATGAGGTGGAAAATCTAATGCAACAAGTTGCCGATGAAGCAGGGTAAGTGCAGCCTAATAAGTAAATATGATTATAAACTTATTTACAAATTTACTTTAATTAATTCTTAATTTGCAGGTTGGAATTAAATATGGAATTACCAACCGGACCTCAAGGATCTGTTGGCCAATCAACTAAAGCATCTACAGAGCAAGATGAGTTAACACAACGTTTAGCTAGATTGAGGCAATAAAATTTTTTTACCACTTTTAGCCTTACAAAAGTTTTATAAATTTGCTTATATTGGCTTGCTAATGATGATTTCAAAAAACACAAAATGCTAGTTCAGTTGAAAGTTGAATGGAGGTATTTTTATATATCCATGTACATAAGAAGCTTGTTACTAAATTGTAATAAAAGTATTTGTTAAATTTTGTAATTCTCAATATTGTATTATTTTATATTTTTTAGCACAAAAAACTTTAAGCAAGAGTCTTTATTATAGTATTGTCATAATTTATTTCACCAGGGAAATATTTATTTTGTTAGAAATTATAAAATTTGATCCATTCAAATTTATTATCATTTTGTTATAATAAAAATTTTTTTTTTTTAATTCATCGTGAAAGTTGTCGATTGAAATTTTTGATTAATTTTTTTTAAAAATTATAAGTATTTAATTGATAATATTACATTTATATTTTTTACATTTTTAAAAATCTCATCTAATTATTATTTAAGCTAATGTTGTTGATAATTAAAGTTTTGTTTAATAAAAATTTATAATTTTTTTCAATTTTCAAATATATTTTCACTTTTTATTGTACTATAATATTATTCATTATTGTAATTTTTAATTTTCATTTTAATTCATATTTTTAGGAATAAGCAGAAAAAGGATTTTAAAAAATAAATGGAAATACCAGACTAAAAAAATTGATCATAAAAAATATTAAAAATTATTTTACTTATTTCTGAATTATTTTATAAAAAAAAAAAAAAAAACGAAGAATAATAAATAGCAGACGTCGTCGTCTAAGAATTTCTAATGCCACGTTAAAAAAGATAAAAACGTGCTCTTTAACTTATACCTAAATTTTATTAAATAATTTTAAAAAAACATGGCTAAATTGTGCCTGAGTAAGTACGGTACATTATTTAAAATTACTTTTTACCAATTAATGAAAAAAATTACAATTTCTCTTCAATGTCATTTAATTTATACTTTATAATTATTTTAATAACACATTTTAGAGAAACCCAGTAAGCGAGTATCTTGTAAAAGACGTTATAAAATTGAAAAAAAAGTTAGAGAACACAATAGAAAAAAAAGAAAAGAAGCTAAAAAAGCAGCTAATAAACGTAAGTTTTCATATTATAATCATTATATTAAATCTGCTTTTTTTTAAGTAATAATTTTTCTATTTCAGCTTCGAGAAAGTTAATTCATGTACCTAATATTTGCCCTTTCAAAGAGTCTATTTTAAATGATGTAGTAGAATACAAAGAACAAATTAAAGTTGAAAAAGATTTGATAAATGGAAATGTGAATAATAATAAAGACGCAGAAAAAATTACATTAAATGATTTGGTCGATCAAGCACAACTTAAAAATAACAATTTGGAGAGCTTAAAAAAAAATGGAGTAAATAATGGAGTGTCTCAAGAATCAATAAATAAACAACAAAAGAATTTTTTTAGTGAATTTCAAAAGGTATGTTTTTTTATTTTTTATTTACAGCCAGACATTTGCAAATTCATATCTACTGTGTTTTTGAAAAACTTAAAAATATTTTAGAATGAAATTTTATTGACATTTTGTTAGGTTGTCGCAGCTTCTGATGTTATATTAGAAGTTGTCGATGCCAGAGATCCGTTAGGCACTAGATGTCCAGCAGTAGAAAAATGTGTCAGAGAATCAAGTGATACAAAGCGACTAGTAGTTGTTTTAAACAAAGCAGGTAGCTTTGAATGCTCAAAGTTTTTTTTTTAAAATCGCATTTACTCAAAACACAAAAAAAAAAAATTAACAACGATTTTCAAATATTTCTTATTTAGATTTAGTGCCTTTAGAAATTCTTCAAAAATGGTTAAAATACTTTAGAAAATCAGTTCCATGCATTGCATTTAAAAGTTCAACTCAAATGCAAAAACACAAATTGGGAAGGAAAAAAATGATTAAAAAAAAAGAAATCAAAAGCGGAGGAGTTAGTGTTGGTGCAGAAAACTTAACATCTCTTTTAGCCAATTACACGAGGAATAAGGGAATAAAAACTTCAATCAGAGTCGGAGTTGTAGGTAAATAAAAAATTTTTTAAAAAATTAAAATATAAATTTTTTTTTAGTACTCTATGAAAATTTTCCCTTTTTTTTTTTACTTTCGCAGGCTTACCAAATGTTGGAAAAAGTAGTTTAATAAATACATTAAAAAGAAATCGTTCGTGTAAAGTGGGTGCTGTACCCGGAATCACGAGGTGTGTAAATAATCACATGATATAAATTAATTATTTTTATTAAATATTTTATATTATATTATTAATTTGTTCTGACTCGCTCACAAAATGTCACAGATCTCTTCAAGAAGTTCAGCTAGATTCTAAAATAAAACTTTTAGATTGTCCTGGATTGGCATTTGTGAGCACATCAGATCCACATGCTGCATTGAAAAATATAATTAAAACAAATGATTACACGGAAGCGGCGGAAATGGTTATAGCAAGAGTTCAAAAAGAAAAATTAATGAAATTATATTTAGTACAAGAATTTAATACGTGCGAAGAATTTTTGGCTTATTTATCTAAAAGATATGGACGTTATAAAAAAGGTGGCGTACCTGACATTCAAGCAGCGGCAAAAATTTTAGTCGACGATTGGAATAAGTAAAAACAATTTTTTAAACAAATTTCACAAGTATAATAACAATTAATTTTTGAGGTTTTCAATTCGTTATTTTTAAATTTTTAATCAGAGGTAAAATTGATTATTACGTTCAACCGCCGGAAGATGTGGAAAATCACGAAATCAGTTCTGCCATAATTACAAAAAACGAAGAAGTTGGAGAATTTAATCTCGAGGAATACGATCAAAAATTATTTGAGGCAAAAGAGATTATTATGGATGTGGATATGAAACAAACGATGGATAATCCAACGAAAAGTATAAATGATAAAAAAAAAAATTTAACGGTAAAAATTTTTGATTTAAAAAAAAAAAAATGTTAATTTTAAAAAATTTTTATTCTTTTAGGTGAAAATTTATTCGTGACATTATCGCAAAAGAAAAAAAAGAAAAATAAAAAAAAAAATAAAGGGGGTAAAGAAGAACCGGATAAAAAATTACAATCTATTTTTCAAATGGAAGGAAATCAAAGATTGAATAAAATTAAAAAATTAAATTATAAAAAAATGAAAAAGCAAAAAGCGCGAGAAAGTAAGTTTAAAGTTTGTAGGACAAAAAAATATAAAAAAATAAAACAAAATAAAAATAAACTTTGTATGTTTTCAGATAAAAAATTGAAGGTGAAGAATGAATAATTGAATTACACATATGTTTAAAAAAAAAAAAAAAAAAACCGTTACGTTACGTTCAAATAATATATAGTCATCATTTGAATTGAACATATTTTAATTTTATTATTACTTTTTTTTTGTTTCTATTTAATCGTCGTCAATAATTACTTCATCTTAATAATAATAATAAAAATAATAATAATAAATAAAAAAACATTTTTAAAAAAAACCGACACCCTTATACGATTTATACGTTAACAAAAAAATAAAAATCTAACCCCATATTATTAACAATATAATATTTAATATTTAACTCGTACAAAATTGTGATGAATACAAAAAAAAAAAATTAATAAAACTAAAATACAGTTTAACAATTGTTTTTAACTTGAAAAATTACTGAGCCCTGTTAGTATTATTATTTTGTAGAAATAATATCCGCGAATATATATATATATATTTAAAATGTTAGTTTTTTTTAAAAATATATTTCTGTGCGCGTTCGTTTTTATTTAAGTTTGAAGTTTTTTCAAAAGACTACTTATTTCTTCGTCGCATTTTGCATCCTTAAACAACAACAACAACAAATAAATAAATTTTCGTTTTTTATTATATTTGATAGTAAAAAAAAAAAAAAAAAATTAGATATTAATTAGACTTACGAAATCGTTTTTCGATTCAACTTTCCAAGAAGCCTTTAACCAATCGAGTGCTTCTGCCACGTCATTATCAAGTAAATAACATTTGGCCAAAAGAAATTTAATTTCCTTGCACGGTTTAGGACTTAGAGAATCAGCTAATTTTAATTCTGAAATTACATCGCTTACACCAAATTCGGAAAATTCATTTTTCAATCTATTATCAGTTAGACCCTAAAAAAAAAAAAAAAAAAAAAAACGTATTTCTTACGTTTTAGAGAACGTTTTGGTTTTAACGGTTTTTTAAAAAAAAAAAAAACATATACAAACTCACATACCTCGTATTTAAATTTCGCTAATGAATAATGTAATAAATAATCATTTTTTCTTTCAAACAAAACGAGATTCGCATGTTTTAAAAATTCACTTCCTTTTTCTTTCTTTTCAGATATTGGTAAATATTGATATTCCATGAAAATTAATAAAGCATACCATTTATGAGCATCCAAGTTGAAAAATTCAAGTTTTATCGCTTCTGATGCATGTTGTAAACCTAAATTGAAATTTTTTTTTGTTATTTACAATAGAACAGGGGAGGTCCAAGGGAAGGTCGATGATGATCAAATAAAGGCCATAATTGTTAATGATCTGCATAGTTCGACAAGGGACATTGCAAAGAAGCAAAATGCGTCACATAATGTCTGCGAGTACCAAAAGAACCATAATGCATAACTTTGGTGAGATTACAAAGGCATAGTCTACTTTGAGCTGCTGCTGCTGCTGCCACGAAATGAGACCATAAATTCAGAGGTTTACATTCGACAAAATTAAATAATGCCATCCAAGAAACGGGAGTTAGCAAATAGCAAAGGAATTGTCTTTCACCACGATAATGCCAGGCCCTCCCCATCTTTAGCCACTGGACAAAAACTACTGGAACTAGACTGAAATGTTTTGCCTCACCCTCCTGTTATAGTCGCTGCTTAGCTCAAAGTGAGTATAATTTGTTCCAAAATGACAAAGAGGTCAAAACTGCATTGGAGCAGTAAAAATAAAGAGTTTTATGAAAAAATGAAAATGATACAACCTGAAAAATGGCAAAAGGTTATTGATAATAATAATGTACATAATATAATAGATGAAAATAATTTTAAAATAATTAATAAAAAATTCATTTTTGCCAACTCGATAAATAAAAAACTTGAAATATGTGGGGGGAACTGTTCTAATTACAAAAAAAAAATTAAAAATTTTCTCAAAATACATTTTGAATACATTACCTGAAATGATAAAATTTTTTTTCAATTCAATATCGGTTTGAGATTTTGCTATCAATTGATATCCTTTAGCAAGTCTCCATAAAACATTTGGATTTTTTAAAGAGCTGGTTTTCAGTTCTTTCAAAAGATTCAATGCCATCTTTTGACTATGGCCATCTTTCTCGAATAAATCATCAACTTCCTTAAATAGTTCATTTAAATCATTATGACTAAAGAAAAAATTTTTTTAAATTTTTTTATTATAGAACATAAACTTTTATTTTTTTAAAATTATTTAAATTTATGACTTATCGTGGCATGGTTTACCTGTCTCCTTTGCATTCTGATGGATTTGTAAGTTCCTCAGTTTTTGATTTTTCAGGTTTAGAGGATGATTCATAAGAATCAAATGATTTTTTCATTTCATCTGTCTTATTCGAATCACATGGACTAGAATTCCAGTCTGACTTTTTATTACCTTTTGATATACCACTAGAAAAAATAATTTATTTCCAATATAATTATTGTGCTCTTTGTTACAATAGGTATATAATATTAAAAAAGTCTTTTTCACTTAAAAACACAAGCCCAGACCTTTTTTTTTTTTTTTTATTTACATTCAATTTATAAGTACAGAGTAATTATTAAATTTTTTTTTCGTATTTTTTTTAAATAGAAGTAAAAGTCATTTCAAGTAATGATTGATTATAAGTCAGACATTAAAAGTGAATCGAGTTCATATGAAATATAAAAAAATTATCTTACTTAAAATTTTTTGAAAGATTTAAATCAGTTATTGAACTTGAATTACTAATTGCTTCATTTGTATTGTTTTGCCTCCGTGTTTGAATCCAATTAATCAAGTAACTTCCACCTGCAATTACAGCGCCTATTCCAAAGCTAATGGCAGCTTTTTTACCAAAAGATGACTTTTCATCAGACATACTGGATCAGTTAAAACTAGATATTTATAAAAATAATACCTATAAAATAAAAAAAATTAAAATTTTTTTTTTCTTAATATATGAATTCTATGTAAAATGTTTATTTAAAATATAATTTTAAACCTTAGTAACAATAATTTAAAGCTTTATCATATTTCATAACAAAAAAGAACTTTATAATTCATTTAATTACAGAAATAAAATTTTTTAAATTTTTTCCTTCAGCTTCATTCAATTTAATTTTAACTTTGTAACGTTATTAGGAAATGAAGTAATAAAAACTTACTGAATTATATAACGGCGATAACATAAGAAATCAGTTTGGTTTCCAATAAAGATGGAGAAATTATTTAAAATCGTGGAACTAAGGTTTTTTAAAATCGCTATTGACACGCTTTACCTCGAAGCGATTGAAATCTAAAATAGTACTTTCTACTTTTTTACTTTTAAAATAATCAATAAAATGAGCAATTTAAAAAAAAAATATATATATATATTATTGTAATTTTAATATATATATATAATATTAATTTTAAGAATATATATATAAAAAGGAAGGTTAAAAGTCTTAAAATTAAAAAAAAAAATTTTTTTTATAAAGCAAATAAATATCAAAGGAAAATAAGTCAAAAAAAAAAAAAATGTAACAAGAAATTTATAAACAGTGAAAATATATTTAAAATATTCTTAAAAATTATATTTATTAAAAAATTAATTTAAATTTCAAGATATTAAAATTATTTTACGTAGAAACAAAACTTAAATGTTTTATTGTAAAAATTAAATGTGCACACAACTAAAGTATGCTTTAATTACATAAGGAAAATAAATGTAACAATTATTTTTAAAAATAACGTCTAATTCTAGACGGCAAATATAATGTTCACAACATTAGTTACTAGAATAAAAAAGATTTGAAATAAATGTAAAACAATATAAGAAACCGATTTAAATAATATGAAATATGTCAAAATATTTAGATACAAAATAGAAAAGGAAAAATGCGAAAGCAAGTTTTGTAAAAATGTCGACCCAATACATTCTGAAAAAAAAAAAAAATTCATAATTAATATTTGTCTTTCGTATAAAATAATATAAATATTGTGATTCTTGTTACATTTTAAGATGTCGTCTGGCCGCTGGTAATGTTTCAGGGGCTTCATTAAGAATGTAAGCTCTAGCTGCAAGTATACAACTTTTAAAATATTCTTCAACATCAAGACCCAAACCATCTACCTTGTAACGCTCTCTTTCCTTAGGATTCATTATAGATCTTGCATAATAAACATGAGTATTCATAAATTGCCATTGGTTATTTGCATAATACTCAAAAACTTCAAAACCTTTCGTTATTCTTTTTTGCACTCGACACATGCTAAAATGTAAAAAAAAAAGAAATTAAACAAAAAAAAAAAAAGTCACAGTTAATTTTATCAATGTCGTGACTCGTCATTTTACATTGGTTTATATCCTAAAAAGAATAACAATGTATCTATAATGTAAGCAGGAATGTAATGAAATAATACAACGCATATATTATGAAACAATTTCGATTTTTTCATTGATCCTCCCGGATACCAAACGACTCCGTTTAATGGAATTTCTTCCGTGATTTTTCTACCAAGAAGAATAAGTTCTTCCCATGAAATTCTAATTTCTTCACTCGAAGTAAAATGAAAGTAACGCCGATTGTAATCCCTAAAATAAATTATATTGAAATGAATAATAATTAAAATAACTTATTAATCACGAGTACCTTTATTTTAAAATTAATAACAAATCATACTTATTGGAAATAAAATTCCAAGTAACAACCAATATACCGTTAACTGCAATGTCAACGGGAAGATAGTCTGCATATCCTTCTTGTTTACAATACATTGTTCTTATAACTCCTTTTCCCGCACCAATCAAGAGTCCAGTCGGACCGTTAATGTTATCCGTCCATCCCGGCAAAGGTTCCTTCCATATAGGCACAACTTAAAAATAAAATAAAAATTGAATGTATAATTTTTTTTTCTAGGTTCAAAATTTATAAAAAACTTTTACGTACCTATTGATGGTCTTGAAATTACCGCTGGGAATGGAGGATCCGATTCAATAGCTTCAACAATGATTCCTTCGGAAAGATTTTTAGTGAATGCATATGTATTTGGACATTTACCCAACACTCTATTAAAGGTAAACAAAAAAATTTTTTATTTTAAAAAAATGTTTACTTAATAAATTTTGTTAAATTAACCGTTTTTTGCAAATAATTAAATAATTTACTTTTTTGTCAAGCTTTCAGCAACATCATCATCCATCCATTCCATTGTTTTAATAAGATCATGAGGATTACAATGAGGAGGATAACTTTTCTCTTCTAAAACTTTTTGTTCCAAATGACAGTAAGCTGTTGACATGTGATGGAAAAGCTACAAAAACAATGGTAAAAATTTTTTCTCAGATGGGTATTTTTTATTAGTACTCAAAGGCTTATTATTCATACAAAAACCTTTATTGAATACCTCAAGATTTTTCATTTGTTTAGCAAGTTCCAAAACAAGTTTTGTTCCTCTTGTGTTCAATAGCACAGCTTTTTTTAAAGGTTCATCAAATCTGATTGTAGCAGCCAAATGAAATACTATATTGACCTCATCGATTAAAAGCTTTCGATCGGATTCGGTCAATCCCAAATCGGGAAGAGATACATCACCACCGATGTAAGCGATTTTCCTTTTTATTTTTTCTTCCCCGTGTATTTCTTTCACTTTGTCGAAAAGCTAAAAAAACAAAAAAAAAGGAAAAATTATTTATTCAATAATAAGAGGACGTTAATTTAACAGACTTAAATATCATACCGGTGACTCAAAAATTTTTTGCAATCTGTCTTTGGGATCAACTCCTTTTTTATTTCTTAGCAAAAGATACATTTTCTTCAAGCCACAACAATTTCTTAAAATTTTTTCCACCAATACTTTTCCCATAAAACCAGTTCCCCCGGTGATAAAAATAGTTTTCCCATTGAAAACATCAGCAATCCGGTCTGGAAGGTCTTCAATATTAACCCCTTCATATCTTTTTTGGTATTCTTTTTCAAAGGCACTTTCACCTAAAATTAAAAAATTCAAAATAATTTTTTTAATAAATTAAACTTTAGATTTTTGCAAAAAAATTTCTACCTTTTAACTTTTAAATGAAATTTATTTTTATTAATTAAATCTATATTTTAAGGTACAAGTATATACTTATATATAAAATTAAAAATTTACAATACTTAAATTCAATAAATTTTAAAATTTTTAACTTGTATAAATCATGGTAGAAATTTTATTTTTTAACTAAATAAATTTTAATTTATTATTATGATGCTGATTAAAAATAATTTGATTCAAATAGATTTCTAGAAATTTTAAAATATAACCATAGACGAGGTTTCATTAAATATTTTTACAATTGACGAATGAGTAACTTACCATTTCCCATTGCGTTCCCGTTTTTTTAATTATGTAAAAAGTTACTAAAAACAAATTTTTCACTTTATTAGAGAGAAAAAAAAAGACGACGAAAATCCAGCAATTATCAGATGCAGATCAAAAATTATTTTTCAAAAAATCAATCATGAATACGTTACAAAATTAAATCTGTTTCGAACGTGGTAGGAAATTTTATGGCGGGTTTTCATAGAGTAAGAAAAAAAGGGAGAAGGAGTTCAACAAAGAGGGGATTTGAATAATGAAGTTTTAACGGTAAGCAAATTTATAAATTTTTTTTTTTTTTCTCCATAAATTTTATACGTTATTCTTTTAAAATTTCACGAGATAAAGGCTGTTTAAAAAGAAAATTATATAATTTATTAATTTTTATGCCGGGATTTATGAGTATTTAAAATAGAAACCGATTTGTTTGAGGCCATTTTCATAAAACTATTTAGAAAAATGCTTAAAGGCGAATGGTAACTAATTAATATTTTGTGAGCGAAAAAAACCCTTTTGCACATTTATTATTACGATAAAATTTCTTCCAAGAATTTTTAATACATTTTGACCTTGACTATTTTTGCTGACTTATAAATAAATTATCGGACATTCCGATCAGATAATTTTTATCTTTATTAAATTTCATTTACTTTTTGCTCTTTATCTCTCACTGAAAATAATTAAAAAAAGCAACGAAGCCGCCATTTTGTTTTTAATTATTTGCACGTACGACATGACTGGCTTCACAAAAGTAGGGATTTGATTATTTTAAAGGTGTTAAATGATTTTTTCACGCACTTTTCAACCTCAAAAATGAAATTATGCAAATATAGAAATCAGAAATTACAATTTTATGAAACTATGATAAACGTTCGCGTACATAAAACTTATAATTTAATGTTTTTCATGCAGAGCCCATTGATTGTAAAAAAAAAAAGAAAAAAGGTAACGAAATCGAAAAGTGAAATTAAAAAAAAGAAAAGAAAAATTAATTAAACAAGTGCTAAACAATAACTGTAATACTTCCTAGTTGTCATGACTGTAATAAAATTCATGTGTTTATATTATTATTTAAAACTTTTAAATATTCATTTACAATTAAACATTTATTGTTATATATATACATATGAACATGGCTATAAATAAGAATTTTCTTTTTTTTTTTTTGTAGGGCGACAGTTAATTTAAGGAAAAAAAATTATTGATACGAGGTCAAATAAGAGAAAATACTCTAAGATTATGCTGATGAAATCTACAGCTGATGATGACTTTGCTAATAAGTATGAATATATTTACTTATTTAAAACTACTATAAACTACTATAAACTATTTAAAATTAAGAAGTTTAATAATTTGTAATATTTTTTTTTTTCACGCATCGATTATTATTGAATCATTTAGAAAACAATTACTTTTTAATAATTGTTAATCCCTTAATTTTTTCTAAATTTCAATGCCTAAACAATGTCTTTTGATCAATATTATATAAATGCAAGTGTTTTAATGTTTAATATTATAAAAACAATCTAAAGTATATGTTCGGCAGAAAAAAAAAATTCCAAAACTTATATTAAAAGAGTCTTTTTGAAATATGTTAAAATGAAAACATAAATTATGTATTTAAAAAAAAAAATTAATGAAAAGTTATTAATAATTATAAATAAATGCAAACAATAACAATCAAAGTTTTGGTTTCTGCATCTGATAATGGTTAATAACTAAATTCCTACTTACTAAAACCCCAAACAAACTAATTACACTAATTTTTAAAAAATATGAATATATTAATTGTATTTTTTTTGAAATTATTTTTTATTGATAATATATGTATGCTATTAGTTACACTAAAAAAATATTAAATTTAAGGTTTGTCTCACAACCAATGACAACAATCACAAGACTAAATTTAATATAATCTGATGAAGATGGGTTGAGTGGATGTTTCAGCCTTAGAATGGGGATTCAAATTATAACCAATCATTTTACTTTCTCCCCGTTTTAAAGGTATGATAGAATCACGTACTTGTAATCGAAACGGTCATTTGAAGGACAATTTTTTCACGTCCGTGTTCTAATAGATATTTTTGTGGGTGTTTAAAATTAAAAAAAATTTTAATTTAACATGTACAGATATTTACAATTATTAAACATTAATGACACCCGCAATTATTTTTTTTTATAAAAATTATTAATGATAATTATATTTAATACGATTTTAATTTTATTTCAGGCAAAGAAATGACAGAATTATAGAAAGATGATCAATTTTTCAACGATCAACGAGAGGGTGAAAAGTGTGTAAAGGCGATTGGAAAAGGAATTATGTGAAAAATGAAATTTTTAAAATGACATCATATGATTAAATAAGTAAGAAAATAAAGTAATCACTTGTTGATTGACTAATTGAAGACACACAAAGTTAAGGAATGGAATCAAAGGTATCTCTCACTTTCACTTTTTTAATAATTCAAATTGTGTATTATTGTTGGTAGAGAGCAGATACATAAAAGTAATTTAAAAAAAAAAAATGGAAAAGATTAGACAGTAACCTTCATTTATTTTCTAAATATTTTATATAAAAACAACATACACGACCATCCTTATATTTTTTAGGTTTAAAATTTTTTTTTTTTTCGGTTAAACGACGACGACATTAGGAGGATTCTAAAGAAAATCACTAATTAGTTACGTAATCCATCAATCAATTTGTGGGTTTTGAGTACCTTCTAATCATCGTGAATGTTTTGGAGTTGACAATTTGTGCTCATTTTTTTGTGCAAACATTATTCATAGGTGTTTAAACCCGAGGCAATTCTTAACACCATTAAAATTTATGTTTGAGGAACGCACAAAAGTTTTTTGTAATAAATATATATATATATATATATATATATATATTCAGTAAGTATACCGAAAAAGAAATTATATTCCAAACAAGCTTTATTAAATAAGATCATTATTTGTTACCATTAAATAAGGATGTAATAACAAAAAGTGTTTGAAACCGGATTTAAATTCTGTTGTTGAATTTGAAAAACTTTTTAAAAAAATCAACTTTGTGCATCGGTATTTGATGACATAGCAACTTGTTTTTTTTTTTTTTTTTTTTTTTTTTTTTAAACAAGATGAAATAATGATAGTTTAATAAAAAAGAGTCTAATTAGATTATGTTTTAAAAAATTGACCAACATTTTTCAATTATAAATTTCAAAAGGTTTTTTAAAAATGGATATGAACATATTATAAAAATAAAAATGGCGACGTCGATACGGTGTTATGCAACTTGAAGTCGCAACCATTGTATTTTTATATAATTTATCGCCACGTCGTAAATTATTCTACAAAATTTACGTTAAATTTAAAAAAAAAAAAAATTCTAAAGTTAACAGGAAGAAGTTTTATTATGGAGAACTAATAAAAATTATTGTTTAATTATTAGGGGTTTCACATATATATATTGTTTTACTTATATTATTTTATTCCTTAATATAATTTTTTTTTTATTATTTTCAGAGGACAAAGAATAATTTTTAAGAGCAAGAGAAAATAGTAATAAAATGAATGACAATCGGCGAACGTGTCAACGAAAGAATGAAATATTTATTAATAAATGTAAGTAATAATTACATAAATTCAAACGAAACTCCATTAGTACAAAATTTAACGACCGTTAATTATAATATTTAAATACGAAAAAAAAAAAAAAAAATACGTTAACAATGACATGGAACACCATCTATTGTTAGTAAAGTTAACTAATTATAAATACTGCTTTCAATGTCGGGAGATACTTGAGTAGTACTTTAAAAAGACTTTTCAACTTTCTTTTTATTTCATCAAACTGTTAGAAACTACTAATAAACTAGTTAGTTGGTTAGTTAGTTAGAAACTAAAAGCTACGGGAAAAACCGAATTTAAATGTAAAGTTAGGAGTGGTTTAATGATTCCAAGGACAACTCAACATGCATTATATAACATTTTTATTTTTATTACAGAAAATATTTTTTTTTTTTTTTATTATAAAAAAGGGCATATAATGGTACGCAAAGTTCATAAAAATTATTCTTTTATCATGTATTAATTTAAAATAATAATTGAATTGAAAAATAGACATGAACGCACCCCCACACACATACATACACATACACAATTATTTAATATCATATTATCACAATCGAAAATGTACAAACGTTTAGTAAAACTAAAAGTAGTAGTAATAGTAGTGGTGGTAGTAGTAGTAGTAGTAGTGGTGGTGGTGGTGGTAGTAGTAGTAGTAGTGGTGGTGGTGGTAGTAGTAGTAGTGGTAGTAGTAGTAGTAGTA